AGTATGCTTACATTTTTACCCTTAGAGGATGGGATTTTTATTATTGGAAGGACATTGTATGGACCTCAGGCGTAGATTGGTACAACATGCAGTTTATTCTAGTTTCATCTAAGAAATATAATTTTTCTCTTGGGATATTTAAGATATTTATACAATAGATTTGACGAATATTAATTGCCTCGGGAGTATTTCTTCTATCAGGCTGCTTGCCAGCTCTTTTTTTAGACCAACCAATATTTTTGATATATTTACTAATGATTGTTTTCGTTTTTGGACTATCAGGGGGCAAATTTTATATAATCTCATGGATATTAATAGTGTTATTTTCCATTAATAAACTTATGATGTATCTTACAATTTTAGAAGAATCTTTTTTCTTACTTCCTCTTTTTTGAATATTGTATTCTTTTAGAGGATCTCCATTTATTTCTGGGAATGTGTCACGTCTAAATTTATAAACCGATGCCGTAGACGTTTCGACGCATTTTGCGGTGTCTTTGATTTTCATTTGTTGTTTTTCAGGCATTGATAACATTTTAGTAACTATATCTATTTTTATTTATTCCAATATTTGTGTATTCTTTTTGGTCTTTGAATTCTTAACGAAGATTGGAGTTTTCATTTTTATTAAAAAAATTAGTATCACTATTGGATAATAAAGATTCTATAATAAACATTTTATTTTATTATTTAAGAAAAATTTTAAAAAATAATTAAATATTTTAAAAACACATTTTTTTTATTTTAAATTAAATTTCCAACACATTTCTTTTTATATTTAAACATGCCGCTTAATCTTAATTAATTGCTTGTCCATATTTAATTCCAATATATATTAAATTAAAATAAAATCTTTTGTTTACCCCCTTTTGTTGTAAGTTTATTTTTAATACTCGTTTCACTGTAAATATAAAACTATCAAAGCTACAGGACATCGAGTTTTTTATTTCTAAAGGTGATATAAAAGATTTTTATAATGATTGTAATAAAAAGAAATTATTAGATATTTAGTTTATTTAATTTTTTAAATTATTTTTCTGCTAGATTCTTCATTCTATCTTGAATAATTCAATTTTACTGATTACCTTTTTATTTATGCTGTTTACTAAGCGGATATTAGTGTTTTTAAAAATTTGGCAAACTTCACACTTTTAGGACTACCTTTTAATATCAAATTTTTTAAAATATACCTCGATTTAAAATTTAAGGATTATTTACTTATATATTTATTAAATATAGCACAAATTTTATCTACAAAGATCATTGATCGGGAAAAAGAAACCTTAATGTTTTTAGACGTAACTGATTTTTTGAATCATAATTTAGAATATAGTTAAGACTTACTAAGGTTTGCCCTAATTTTTATTTCGCTTAAAACTCGTTTTTATTTATTGACTAGAAAAACTGATTGATGAATTAGTAAGTACTAATCACGCATTATATATTGTCCATTGCTACTATAATGTTATTGATTTTTTTTTATTTTAAAAAAGTATGAAATACGTACTAATTTTTTTTCTTTTTCTCTTTAGCTTTCACCTTTTCTGTTGGTAAGCTCCTTCATTATCTCTCTCCACTTTAGTTATTCATACTGTCTCTTTTATCTAATTTATACTTCTTCATATTGGCTCTAACTTTATGGCCCCATTGAAGTTTTGGCCTTCCTCTTTTACGTTAATCCATCACTTCCAAACTCTTAACCTTATTTCCTATGTAGTTCATAGGCCTTCTCATTGTATGCCCATACCACCTAAGTCTGTTTACCATTATCTTAGTCTTAATGGGCACTACCTAAACTTTCTAGTATTCTTTTCGCACCTTATTCTTTCTTGTTACCCCAGCAATCATTCTCAGAATTCTCATCTCCATAGTTTGTAGACTTCTCTCGTCTGATTCTTTGGTTGGCCATGTTTCCGAACTATATAGAATAGTTGGTTGCACTATGGAACTGTAAATTATACCTTCAATTTGTGTGGGATTCTTTTGTCAAAGCACTCCAGATAAAGATCTCCACTTTAACCACCCTTGATTAATTTTACTCTATCTCTTTCTCTATTGTGCTGTTTGTTTGTATAGTGGAGTCCAAATATTTGCAGCTTTCAATTGCCGATATCTGCCATTCATTTATATCAATGCTCTCTGTTTCATCTCCTCTTATCACCATATACTCCGTCTTTTCTCTATTTACTTTTACTCCGTGCTTTTCTAGGATATTTATCCAGCTCACTAATATTTCTTTCATTTCATCCTTGGATTCGGCAAGTATCATAATATCATCTGCAAATATCATATTCCACGGGACTGTTTGTGGTATAGATTGTGCTAATACATCTATTACTGTTGAAGAGAAGTGGGCTGAGAGCCGACCCTTGATAAACTCGGCTATTGTAAAGCTTGTTGAAGTACCAGTTGTGCTACGGACCATTGTTGTATGGCCCATATACATATCCTGTATTATTCTTATATATTTTTCGGGAACCTCTTTGTGGCGTAGAACCCACCTGATAAGTTTTCTTGGGATTCTATCGAAGGCCTTTTATAGATTGAGAAAGATCATGTATAGCGTTTTGTTCTTTTCCCTGTATTTTTCACTCATTTGCCTAATTGCGTGGTTAGCATCAGTTGTTGATCTTCCAGACATAAAGCCAAACTGAGTCTCTCCTATTTCGATTATGTCTCTTATCTTTTTTTCTTATATTTTTTCGTAGAGTTTAAGACAGTGTGACCATAGTTTTTTAGCCCCTGTAATTTTGACAATTGTGTGGATCCCCTTTATTCTTAAAGATAGGAACTAGATAGCTCTGCCTCCATTTTTGAGGAATCTCTTCATTTCCCAGTATTTTATTATATAGTGATAGGAGATGTATTCCATCATCTCCTAGTGCTTTAAGACTTTCTATTGGAATATTATCTGGACCCCTAGCTTTGTTGTTTTTCATATGCTTGAGGCATGTGATTATTTCTTGTTCTGTTATTAATTTTTATCTTTTCTTTATTCTGTCTACAAACGAATTAAATTAATATACAATTAGACACTAAATGTTATATAAAATTTTCATAATAAATGCTTTCGGTTGCTTTTTAATAGTAAGATCGGTCAAATTTTGTTGCAAATAATTTTTTCCTTTATACTGACTAAAGTCAAACACTAATAAATAACAGTATATTGGCATATTTTAGAATTAGTGCTTCCGATTGTCCAGCTAACTTTAATGGAGATGATATAAAACAACCAAGGAAAAATTAATAATATAAAATATTTTTTTATAGGAGGGGCCAGGCCGAAGGCCAAAAAATCTCCACCTCCCCCCTTCATCCATGGATAAATCTTGCCAAGATCACTTCAGAAAGACATCAAAATACAATTAATTTATAAAACAGTTTTTATAGAAATAGATAGCCATAGAGTTAAGATATAAGCGCCAATTAATATTTGGAAAAGTTAGTTATAATTAAAAATGTGCTGGCAGAAAAATTTGCATAAAAAAATTAAAAGATCTGGACAGGGCTTGATTTTTATAAAATTTTAACGGGCAGAAAGGGAAAATAGTAAAAAGTATCGGGCTAGACAAACATTTAAATAAAGAGCGGTAACATGTGCGAAAAACCTTAAGGGGTCGGGTATTGCAGATCTCTGATTCAAAAAGCTGTTAAAACTTTCTAAAATACCTGTTATTGTTATGAGCTCCTAACGCTGTTTGGTGACTCTATTGCAAATATATCTGCTCCCGTTTCTGCAATAACTGAGTGAAATTAAGAATGTGGGAGGTAATAGAAGTCTGCAAATTTTATCTCCTTGGGCTTTAAGATGTGTCCTACCCGAAACCAGATAAATAAATATTAAAAATACAAATATTATTAATACAAATATCTTTTGTTTCACAGAATTGTCAATCAGAATAGCTAATATTGACGTCTTTTTAATATGTTCACTATTATATTTTTCTCTATATAAACAATTATATCATCTTTTTTCGACATCAATCATGCAAAATATTTTTATATAATCACAATAATTTTTAAATTCAATTGTATTTTAACTTTACTTTTTATATTTAAACTGAATAAAATTTATATGTATATAAATAAAATAAAATGCAGCTTTATACGAATATTGATTAGATTAATTGTTTCTTAGCCATTGTAACATTCAAACTTATGTTTTTTTTGTCTGGCTTGGACAAAAATTTTTTTATAATTCGAGCTCGGTTCAGGCTAGGGCTGCGAAAAAATTACTTGGCATTACCTTCTGAGTCTAACTTAAAGAGTAAAGAGTAAAATATAAATTTTTCCCTTCAGCCTTCGGATATCTATCGGTACATTTTCTAAATCGAATAAAATAATAAATTATACGAATTTATATATATTTACTTTATATGATAAATAAGACATTTGTATTAACAATAACGATAGAAATGGGATCCATGATTAATTAGTTCATATCGCCGCCTAAAATATTATTATGGTCATGAAAATTATTTAGGTCAATAATTCTGAAGCCATAGTAACACTGAAAAATTGATTATAGCATATAGTGTATAGTATAATAAATATAACATATATTAAATATACTAATACATTATTTTATTCTACTCTGTTTTTATCAATTTTTTTGAATCAGATGGTCATAGTACTAATACTTTAAAATAAAATTAAATATCACGCCTAAATTGATTTTAATACTATATTGCTGCCTGACTCATAGTTTCTCTAAATTTAGTACGAAAGTTGAACAAATAATATCGGAGCGGAGCAAACTAAGAAACAATCAGTTCTATGTATTTTGAAATTTTTAGTTATTTATTTTTTTAAATCAGAAAAAAAGCTAGCGGTACAAAATTTATATTTGAAACCAAACCGGTTTATTGGTCCTAATTGGAAATATTAATATAATAAATTTATTCTTCTATTATACTGTATAAATTAAATATTGATATAAAAATATATCTTATAATTTATAAAGACTATTTATTTGTAGAGTTATTGCTTATTAGTTAATATTATTAAATTAACTATAATATTATATATAAATATAGTATAATATAATTTATAATTATTTTTTTTAATTTTATTTTGCATTCAAATCCAATCTTTATTTTATATAATAATATTATCGTTAAATATCAAATATGAGGGCAAATTTAGTTTAATTAAGTCACTGCTGGATAATCAGAGTAAAACGATTTGATTCGGTGTTTAAAATTCATCACAATATATATCAGGAACGAGACCTCTATTAGGAGGTGTCGCGAAAATCATTTTGACAGAATTATGTCCGAATAATCTGTATTCATAGGCAACCAATTGTTTGATAAACCCGACGTTTGGACGTATTATTGGACGTATGCGTTTGAGATAATAATAAGCCTGAGCCAACGACATTTTACGGTGTTTCATGAGGTAGGCCAAGACCAAAGTAGCACTCCTGCTGGCTCCCACCATGCAATGAACCAAAGTTTTACCGCCTCCCGTCCCTGTATTGATAATTGAACTCGAATTGGAATTCATATAATTATTGTTCCTAGAAGCGTCTCTAATTTTATCAGCGATCGTATCGAAATAAGGGTACAATTGAGCCGTAGGAGAATCGTCTAACCTAATCGCCATGGATTCAACTCCCGGTATTTTCAGGTTAGGAAAATCGATGGTTACATTTATGACTAACGTTATGCCCTTAGCTCTTATCTTGTATTCATTGACCGCACTGGCTCCACTCAAATATAAATGGGGATTTACCTCGGATATGGTGGTTAGGCACAATATATTCATGGCAGGGGATGCTGATAATCGACTAGAAAATGTAGAGTTACGATCTGCTAACGAAGAAGAAAGAGAATTGTTCTCTGTATCTTTATTATTATTGTTTCTGGAAATATTCATATAATGTTTTTTATTATCGTGGTCGCTATCGCCGTTTAATCGTGTAAATATCGAGGTATTATTGGAAGATTTGGCGTTATTATATTTGTATGAGTCTGATTGGTAGTTATGAGCAGTATTTTCTAGGGTCATTTCTATCAAGAGGGTTTGTCTAAAAATTGAAAACGTTAGTGTATAGATGTGTTGTGTATGATCAGATGTTTTTTAACCATCAGTAAGTTAATTTCTCTATTTTATGTATGTTATTTTTTATTTTGTAAATTAGGTATCTTAATTTAATATCGAATATTTTATATTTATAATTTATATTCAATTAATACACTTTACGCTTAAGCCTCATTCAATATTAACCCCCCTCATAAAAAATAAATTATTATAAATTCAACATTAAAATAAACAAGTGGATAATCCCTTGAATTAAAATAAATGTCATAATGTTTTAATTAAGATCATTAATAAATTTATATTAATAAAATGAAGATATCTAGTAATTGATATCAAAGCTATATACAATATAATTACAACAATTCATGTATATCGGGGAAAACTCTTCTGTTAAACATCATTCATTATTAAGTTTAAAATTCTTCAAAATACGTAAAGTAAAAATATAGAATTTTAAATAAAAACATTTAAAAAAACAATAATGATATAAGAATTAAAATTAAAAATAATAAAATACTTCACTGCCTCTAATGGGGAAGGGAGATATGATGTAATAACGTCACTAGAATCTTAGGCGATAGGGGGTTCAGATTCAATGGAGTAATGGCATGACTGTTTTCAATGGATATTGATATAAAAATATTGGATGCTGATCATTTAAAAAAAAATCGGGTCCGTTAATAAAATTTTTTTTTTAATGGGCCGGGATTTGGTAAGTACAGCAACTGCCTTTTTTCCATTAAGACGATATAAACATCAAAAGCTGAGTCTATAGAATCTATCTCCAGGGACCTAGTTATTCAGAAATAAAATAGGAAAAAAAATAAATAAAGTTAAAATATATTTTTTTTTAATTTTCAATTTACTTATAATGAATTTGTAAAAAAAACATTTAAAAAAATAAAATTAAACACTCAGGGGGTTATAAGGAGATAATTCAGCCCCTCTAGCTAGGGGTTTGGTCATAGAGAAATGGAATAAGGAAATAAATGAAAGCGCATTTGATAACTTTTTTTTAAATGTTATTAAAAGTGTTTAAAGAGGAATATCATACATTCTTAAATCAATAATGTAATTATATATTTGCAATATTTTGTTTATGAGAAATATTAATTTTTATAACATGTATTTAGGGCAAACAATAAAATTGATAATATTAATTAAAAATATATCTAAAAGCTTAATAAGGTCATGGCTTATAACATAATAATGATATTTAAAAAATTGTATTATTTATGCCTGATCTTGTTTTCATAAAATCAGATATATATTAATAAATTTTTAAGCTTATAAAAAATCATGAATGGGATTCATTTATCTCAAGTCATCGGTAGTGTTGTTAAACGGCTAGATTTCGCCGTTTTTTTTAAAAAAGACTAAATCAAGATTTCAGTCAAAATAATATTACCTAAGCCACGATTTAGCTGATAGAAGTTCAAACCTTTCTCCCGAGCAAAATTTCCAGTTTTTAAGAATTCGCCAATTCGAGGCGTAAAGAGGACCGAAATTTTAAAATGTTAAATACTAAGAAATAAAAATCAACATTACATAAATTATAAATTAAAAGTAGAAACTCCAAACAGAAATGGAGGCATGATAAAGCTGGATATACTGTTATATTGTTTAGCATAATTGGGTAATCGGCCAGCAGGAGTTAATTTTTATCCGCTTTCTCTAGGTTTGGCTATTTTTTTCAACAGCGGTTTATTTCGAAGCTTCCCAGCTATATAGAGTTGTTAAACGCCACTTTCAAAAATAGCATAATACTGCTAATTTTTAAAAAGAATAGCGCGTTACCCTAAACTATTTTTTTTTAAAAAAATAAGTAACGCGCTACGGTACTATTTTAAAAAAATGTTGAGCGTGCTAACAACACTGCTATAGGCTGTTTAAATTTATAACCACGATTGAAGGAAAACAACACTTCTATAAGCTATTTAATATAGCAATCATTGAAGGGATTGGATAAGTCGCTCTCTATAGTTTTTTTTAGTATGCAAATTTGTAAATAAAAATACTATAATTGCAAATGATTTATATGCCTAGAAATAAAAACAATTTTTAAATTATGCGCAATTAAACATGAGACTTTTAATGATTTTTTATTTTTCCAAGGTTAAGGAATTAAAATTTTTTTTAAAAACATAATCACTTCTTGTTTTTTTTAAATGGCAATTTAAAAAAAAAAAATCTATCAATAAGAAAACTGGAAGCTCAAATTAATTTTAATTATTTTTTTTTCAAGCAGCTGGACAATTACTATGATAATTTATATTAGATCGACTTTAAAGATTCTAAAAAAAATACAGGATTTTTCAGAAATCAGTTGGCAGTGGATTACGATGGAATTTTATCAGAAATATTATATTTTTTTAATTTTAATATGAAAGATGGTAAGCATAGTTTTAAAAAAATGATGAAAAAATATTATCTCATTGATTAAAATCCTATTTCTGATATCATCGAAGCATTATTTGAATGAATTATAAAATTATAAAAGATAAAGATAATTATAATGTAAATAATACTTAAAAAACGAAGATAACCTTATTTTATAGCAGAGTCCGAAAAATAAATTAAAAAAGGGGGTTCTTGTTTCCAAATAAGTCACCGGATCCGAGGATTCAGGTTCAAGTTCTAGATTCTGGGCAAAACAAATATAACCAAGCCTTGAGATTGATGATAATATCAGCATAGCAGAATCTTGTAGGCGATAGATTATAAGTTTTCTCGACATGCGCAGTAGATTTTGCACTTTAAATTGAAATTTCTTTAAAAGTTCATTACATAATTGTCTGAAATTTATAGGGTGGGCATTATACACCTACAGGAATGCATTTCCGACAAGATCAATAACGCGCTCAACTAATAATTTAAAAGGCTAAACTTAAGACAATTTTTAGTAAACTTTTAGAAATTTCAATTGAAAATACAAAACTATTACTCATGTCGGGAAAACCTATTAAACTATCGCCTTAACCAGAATCTCTATGGGCGTTTTATAAGCAAATAATATTATATAAAAATGGATCAAATTTTTTTTATTATTTCAAAATGAATAGGCTAATTTTTTTTAAAAAATTCATTATCAATTGATAGAAAAACAAAAGTAATACTATCCTGCCTAATTTTTTTTTTTTTAAAAAATACATATTTTTTTCTTATTCAAATTGAAATTAGGGTCAAAATTAACTAAAAATCATTTTGTAAATTAATAAACCTTAATTGCCAAAATATTTTCATATAAATTATAATTTATTTTATAATTTTAGATACTTAAGTTCTAAATTATTTATCAAAATATTGATAATTTAATAATGAGATAATTGAAAAAAAAATTCTTGGATTTTATTTAAAAATTAAGATTCTTGTTATTTACCTTTAGTGATACTTGCTTCAGAAAAAACTTTGAGATTTCTTTAATATTTAAATTCGTAAATTTAAAAAAAAAATAATATATATTTAAATACTTCTTTTTTTTTAAAAAAAATAATGAACTAAGCTAAATTCGTTATTATTTTTATAAATTTGATATTGAACAAATAAAAATATTGAAAATTAATCAATAATAAAAAAAAAATTATACCAATAAAAAGATATTTTATTTTATAAATGTTCTTTTATTATAATATTAAAATTTTAAATAATTGGATAAAATCCAATTTAAAAAAAATTAATTATATTTGTATAAAATATAAATATTAAGAATATAACTACCTTACAAAAAATATTGATCGGATTAATTATAACAGAAAAAGACAAAATTTTAAACTACCGGCTAACCAGGTCTATTTTAGTGTTGAGTTTCTAATTAGGACGATTTTAAGGTAGTTGAACAGGGTTGACATGTCAAAAAAATTTATTAATGTGCGGGTTGTTCATTTCAGCGCGGCCTTCCGCAGAATCTTGTGAATAACATATACTTTATTTAAAGGTTACTCCTACGACCTGCCCATTGGGAGCTCACGTAAATTAAGTAGAGGCATCTCCTCGCTTAACCATGCGCGTTTTTTATTTATACACTGGATATTTTATTGGTATATCTTTATTGATATTCTTAATGTTAGACTAATTTGAGAATTAAAACCATATTTATATAATCATTTTTTTTATCTCTAGAAGATAAAATTTATCCAGACATTTTAAAAAATCGCTTTAGTAAATTCTGTACAGGACATTAGATCATTCAATGGTTATTTAATTTTTTTCATTGTGCTGACTAATTCTATAATACACCGTGAATTCCTCCTCAAACAAGAAATATTTACGAATTTAAGTCGAAATTTATCACAAATAGATTGTTTTCATCTGACTCTGAATAAGAAATACTGGAGAATGAGAAAGCCACTTTGTTTATTTAAATAATTAACTATTCTTAAATGTTTAAAAGATAAATAAAATATTTATATTTATTTTTAATAAAGCAAAGATATAATTAAGTTATATAATATAACTTTTTTGAAGCCCAACTATTTTTCAATGAGTAAAAAAAAATTATTTTATAAATTCTTTATATATATATACCTCTTAAGTTTAAATTTAATTTTACAATATCATCGGTTTAGAATGGGAATGCTCCACTTGCGCAAATGTTTAAAATGAGAAAATCATCATTATAGTATAAATTTTTTTTATCAATATTGGCATAAATTAATATTTTTTAATCTAGTTTTTATTTTTATATATATTGGGAATAAATAAGTTGTTATCCACTTAAAATGTGATAAAATTAAAGTTAAAATATAGGAAAAAGTTATTGATCAATTTTGACAATAACTTTGGCAAAAATTAATTTTTTTAAATCTAGTTTTTATTTTTATATATATTGGGAATAAAGTTATTATCCACTTCTAACTCAAAAATTTTGAAAATCTCGAGTGGAGCACTCCAATTCTAGACCAACGATATATTTATTAAAAAAAATGATTCCATTTGGCATCTATGGGCGCTTAAATACAAAAATAATATTATTAGCATTTGTGTTTACAACTTAATTAAGTAATTTTAATTACCCCCTTTCTTTTTATCGAAATTAACTAACCTAACAAAATTCTAAAGATAAACAAGTATTCACTTTCATTTTTGTGGAACAAAAGCTGTTACAAATTTGTTACCACATTGATATTTGTGAGTAACTAAGGGAGTTGTGCCAATTCTAAGACACCAGATTAGTTGATAAAAAAGGGTTTTCGGTTATCATTGGCTAAAAAATATTAGCATATACAATAGATAAAATATCTATAAAAGGACGGAATTGTTTGTGGATAAGGGCTTTCCCTATTTTCACGTCAAATTTAATTTTTTGAATAATAATTTTCTAATAATTTAAATACTGATTACATCAAACAATGTTAATTATTATATAGTAACGGCCTATATTTTTTGGGCACCTCTAAAATAAAAGACAGATCCAAATTGACTTGTGCCGAATACTGAATACACTTTTATTTTAGATCATCTAATTCCTTAGTGCACCATGGTTGATACTCCACCTAATCTTAACCCTGAGCTAGCCGGCGCACCAAATTTTATGTACCCTAGTCCCCTCCAAGTCCCATACTCTAAATGATCTTATGACTTTGAATGCAACAATTGGGAATAAAAATGCTAGCATTATAATAAATATTGTCAGATTCAACGTGCAATCCACTAGTAATGGAGGGTGTATCATAAAAACTAAAAGAAATAGAACGTCTATAATTTGGCCAAAATCTAAACATAAAAATGGCTAAAAGTTAAAACGTAGTAAAATACAAGAAAAAGTATAATAAAATATTATTGAATTTATTATATAATTATAGTACTGATTAAATCATTATACGGTATATGGTTATAAAACAAAATTATATATTATAATTCAAATTTAACTTAATTTTCATTATATAAAGATTGTAAAAGGTTTAAGAAAATTTAAGAATGTTTTTATTAGTAAATACATATATATATTACACATATGGAAAAGATACGTCCTTATTTTCGTTAAACAAAAAAGACTTTTGCATGAAATTTAAATTTATGTCATTTTATATTATAAAATATATATTCATATTCTGTTGTAAATTAGCCGCTATTTTTGTTATATAAAAAAAATATACAAGTCAAGTTTTTTTTAAATTCCATCTTGCGGAAATTTTTTTGTTACTTTATTTTCTCATTATATAATATTATTATAAAAATTATTTAATATATATATTCAATTTTCTACATGATTTTTTAAAAAATAATTCATCATTTTTTATAACTTGCAATTTATATGCGATTTAAATAAAAAAATAAAAAGAAATTATAAATAAAATGAAATAATTAACGTTAAAACCATTATAATCAATCTTTGCAAATGGCTGCCAAATGAGCAACGTTTTTATAACATTATAAAATTGGGCGTTGAGCAGTTTATTTAATAATGTTTATGAGTTTCATTGAGCCACCAAAAATATTTCTTAAAACTATTCGATAAATAATGCATGAAAATCAAATAGGCTACTAAAAATAAATTAATCTCGCAAAAAATTTATTACCTTTTGATTTTGAATGTGATTCAAATATAGTAAATTTGCTTAAAATAATATATATATTTTAATTAAATTAGTTTTATTTTCTAAAAAGATCTTTGTACACGTTTGGTAAATGTATGCCAATGTTATTAATAAATATTTTATGTTATATCTTATATCTTATTACCTGTAAAAATGTAAAAGATATTTTATAGAATAGCTCTATGATAACGTATATATATACTTTTCTGAATGATCACAATATCACAACAAAAATTATTCGTGATATTTTTAAAAATTTACCTTGTGCCAAAAAATATTTTATACAAAAATTAAGTCTCTGAGCTATATTATATTTATTATATTAAGGTATGTTAACAATTTTAGGTTCGTGTTTTTTTTGAAAATTTACAAATTTTTATATAAGAATTACTACTAGTAACTAAACTACTAAATGTATATAATATAATTAATCACTTGTTTTTTTAAATAAATAAAATAATTTTTACTATTTGTTTATTTTATCATTATACAAGTGTTAAAAAAATTGCCACACGAAATTAATTCATGAAAAAGTATTTAAGTTCTGGAAATTTAAATAATTTAAAAAAATTCCTAGCTTCATAGGGTCTCTAGACCCTATTATTTCACTGAAGTAAATGTATCATTAGAGTTGTTCCTTAATCAAAAACGCACAATTATACATTAACTGGTTGCTTAAAACTTTTGAACATTTTCGTAAAATATAATGCATATATATATTTTTAGGTCAGTTTACTTTAATGAGCTTTTAATTTTATGAAACAAACTCGTTATTATTTCATTGAAAAGAAATCCAAAAACTTCTTGTATTGTTGGGGGAGGGGACCTCGAAGACACTGTGCTCCCGTCAATTTAAAAAAAATTTAGCGTGCCCCCGCCAGAAATTTAAAAGGGTATAATAGTATTTTCACATATTAATAATATTTTTTAAAATAAATATAAAATATTTTATAAACAAAATGGTAGTATTGTACGTTTCTAATTCTAAAAAACATTACATATTTTAATTGATTCTTAAAAATTAATATCCAATAGAAATATCGGAATATCATTATATTAGAATAGAAGTGTACGTGTTTAAATTAAAAGAAAAATATTACGAATTATTTTTTATAGCCAGAGCATGCATTAAAAATGGTCACGCATATTGGTAAATAAATCAAGAAATTATTGGGGACTGCATACCATCTTACAAAATCAAATCGCCCATTTGTGAATTTTGAAGCGTTAATAGATTTATAAGGCCCAGCGGTTTAGATGTGGAAAATATTTTGCATTCTAGATATTCTGCCTTGTTAACAATTTGTTGGCAAGGAAATGCAAATAAAAATTGTACTTAATATTACAATTTACAATCGAAAATTACTATCCTATTAGGTTAATTTACTATATTGTCAAATAAACCAACCCTGGTTATTTATGTAATGGGAATTAATGTCATCTTATGATGATTCTATTTTTAAATTTCTAGACTTAATTGAACTGAATAGTTCATATTTTACTAGATCTTCTTAAACCCGTTGCGTTTTCTGAATTTTTTTTGCAAAAAATTGAATTTCTTTTGTTAGCAATGGCGCCAATGACATGACTGTGTAGAAATTTAGTGTAGCAAGGCGCCTTTGGAACCATATCCAACAATCATGCTCCGATCACTTAAACCACCGTTTAGAATTAGCGGTGTCCGATGCAATAAGTATTACAGATATTCCTCACCTTAAAGGTTTTATTGACACAACATATAGTTTATATAGCCAATCTACCACGTTGGAACAAATAACGCCTGAATTATGCATTCATTTACTGAAGATGGGAAGGGGCCCTAGTACGATGGGTGTCTCAGAGTCTTCGTACTGCTAAGACAAGTGGAAATCAGGGGCGGAGTGCGATGCTACGTCTTTGTAGCAAAGTGCGATGCTACGTCTTTGTAGCAAATGTTTTCTAGTGGTCTTACTTATATGGAGGCTTCGCCCCCTTG